CGTGAAATGTAGGAATTACGTGACGTGAGACGTTTTGACGTAACAGTTATGTGTCAGTCAAGACATCGCTTGACATAAAACGTGACATTCAACATAGGACATATTCAGTAGTACTATGAATTCCATCAAGTACATACATAGGGTTATGGAATTTCAACGTAAACTTGATCAGTTAAATAGAGACATTAAATCATATGAGAATATAAAACAAATTAAAAGACAATTAGATAGCCTGCATATTGAGGACAAAACGTGGAAACCAAAAGAGTTGAATCTACAGCAGCAGCAGCAGCAGCAGCAGCAGCAGCAACAGCTAGACACCTGGATTTACGCCTGCAGAAAACTGCCACCAGCTTCATATCCATTGAGACGTATTCAACCAATATCATGGACGTTAACAACATCTGTTCAAACTTTATAAAAGTCATCCACAAACGAATTTTCCGGAAATGCGAGAAACAAATTGCACCCAATCAGTTTGTATTGTTTCAGAACTGTAAAGGTGTCAGCTGTAATGTTTTTGCATGCCTGATTGACTACAAAAAGGCTTTGGATAGAGTCAGGCATGAAAAATGATGGAAGTGCTTAAGAGGACAGGGATTGATGAAAGAGACTTAAAAATAATAGCTAACCTATATTGGAATCAATCAGCGGTACTCCGGATAGATGGAGAATATACAGATTAGGTCAAAATCTTAAGGGGAGTGAGACAGGGGTGCATAATTTTACCACTAATATTCAATCTGTACTCGGAGCACTGATAGAACTGATAGTCGAGGGTAGAGTTAAAGGATAGAGCCCTAGGGGAAGATCTCCAAGCCGTTGGGTAGGTCAAACAAAAATATTAATTAACCAAGGGTTACATGAAGCCGAACAACTAGCTCAGCACAAGGAAGGATGGAGGGAAAATCGTGAAATAACTGTAAAGGCCTAATGGTGTCACCACATCCCAAAAGGGATTAGGACTGAGGAGGAGGAGGAGGAGCATATTTTTGAAGAGGCTCTAAAAGACATTGATAAAGGCATCTCAATAAATGGAGTCAAGCTCAATAACCTGCGGTACGCAGATGATACAATAGTGTTTTCCAATACTATAGAGGGGCTGCAAAACTTAATGAATACAATAACGGAAACAACATGTCAACAAAATGAGAATTGAATGTGTGTCACAGTACAACTACTTAGGAACTATAATCAATGAGTCATGGGACCATACCCAAGAGATTAAATGTAAAATCGGAAAGACAAAAAGTGCATTCTTGACTATGAGCTCTGTGTTCAAGAGCCTTGAGCTCACCGAGAAACAAAAATAAGGCTCCTTAAATGTTACATGTACTCAGTGCTTGTGTACGGAGTAGAAACGTTGACATTGAACACAAAAACTGTATCAAAATTTCAGGCTTTTGAGCTATGGTTATACAAAAGGATCCTGAAGATACCATGGACGGACAAAGTCACCAATGAAGAAGTACTGCGAAAGATGAACAGAACCGCGGATTTGGTCAACATCGTAAAGGACCGTAAGCTCCGGTACTTGGGACATATAATGAGAAATCAAGGGAGATACGAGCTACTTCAATGCATTTTGCAAGGTACAATTGAAAGATAAAGGGCCCCAGGACGAAAAAGAATATTATGGCTTGCTAACCTGAGAGCATGGTGTAGAAAGACCTCAACACAGCTATTCCTTATAGCAACCAACAAAGTCATCACAGCCAGAATGATCGCCAAGAAGAAGAAGATGTATTCTGTAAGTCTGAGTACTTGTAGTTCACTGAAATGTTGAGTTCTGAATTCGAATTATGCTGTTAGGATTAATCCTAGATTGTCTGTATCTGATTGGACGTTCTCTCTACTATCTTACTGATTGCTGGAAGTAAGCTAATCGGCCTGTAATTTTGCGGAAATTAGTGGTTCTTTACTGACTTTGGCATCATGATTACATGGGCTTCCTTTTATCTGTTAAGGAAGAGCCTGTATCTTACTATTGCGTTTATTATGCTTGTCAGATATACATGTTAGCTTACAAGTAAGAGTACGGAGTTGGTAGATGCCTTTTAAAAAATAGAGCAACAGATGAGTATTGCAAGGGGAATTCTAGGCCGATGTTTCGTAATGGTAGGTGGTTTTGAATTATTTTTTTCTGATATTTCGTCTGTTACTGTTATATGTAGACTATCACAGGCGACACGGGAGCCAAATTATGTTGAAAATGAAGTATGTGACACAAACAAAGAGGATGTTTCATTTTAGTTTTTTTAGTAACCAGTTTATGCTAGCTGCTTTTGCATATGATTTGATCAATTATTTCATTTATCATTTTTAGGTAGAAAGCGATTCTTGTTGTAAATATGAAGGTTATTTTTTTAAAATGTTTAGTCTTTAAATACCATTAGAAACCCTAAGATTTCCAACTTGGCGAAACTAAATTCAAATTTTTACCACTACGCTTTTTACAACTTACAAAACAGACATATTGATAAATTAGTCGACAAGGGAATCTATAATTTGCATTCCACATGCCCTTCATCACGGTAAAAATTATTAGTGAATATAGTTTCTATTATAGTTCTGCTTTGCAAGTTGTAGAAGGCACAGTGGTAAAAATTTGAATTTAGTTTCGCCCAATAAGAAATTTTAGGATTTCTAATATTGTGATTAGATGACGTTGTAACGTCTTATATATAACAAGCGAGTCTTCTACAGCTGGCGCAGCTTCTCGCATCATAATTTCCAGCATTTTCTGTCGAAACAATCTTCAGTTGTTAGATCTCTGGCGGTCATTGAATCGTCGACATCGTCTCTCCAGGATCGTCTTGATCTACCTCGTTTTCTTCTAGTTGGTGGAGTCCATTCTTCTATTTTTTTTGGCCATCTATTTTTAGGCATTCTCTGAAGATGTCTATACCAGTTGTCTTTTGGCTTCGATTGTATCTATTATGTCTAGATTAATTTCCATTTCTCTCCGAATATCTTCGTTTCTCACCCTATCAAGTCTAGTGAGCTGGCAACATCGTCTCCAGTAGTTCATTTCCATGGCCTTAATTTTTGATTGGTTTCTTTAGTTTATTTCCCAGACTGCGGCGCCGTACAGCCCAATACTTTCTATTATTGTTTTATAAATTCTTCTTTTATTTTCTTTTGTTTTTTTTTTTATTCCATAATAGTCCGTATAGCTGTCTAGTAACTGATCTTGCCTGGCCAATCCTGGAATGTATTTCTTCGCTACTTCCTGATTTTGATGTTATTTGGACTCCCAAGTATTTAAAATTGTCTGTTGGTTTTATAGTTTCCATTTCGATGTGTAGGCTTTCTGGTTTTTCTCCTACAACTAAGTACTCAGTTTTTTGTATATTAATTGTGAGGCCCCATTTGGTGTACTCATTTTCCAGTTTTCTAAGCATGTAGCCTACATCACTCTCGTCTTTAGCTAGAATGGCTTGGTCGTCAGCGAAGTGTATCGTGTACAATCTATCATCTCCGATTGGGATGCCCATATTGTAACACTTTTTTCTCTACAGTGAGAGTGCCTCATTTACATATATTTTGAAGAGTGCAGGTGCTATGCAGCAGCCTTGCTTTAGGCCCTTACTAATAGGAATTTCTCTAGTTAATCTATTTCCAGTTTTAATGTCCGTCATATTTTTGTAGAGCTGTTGTACTGCTTGTATATTTTTTTTGCTTATTCCTTGTTTTTCCATTGCTACCCAAAGCATTGAAAGTGGTACACTATCGTATGCCTTTGTCAGATCTATTAAGACTATATGAGTTGAAAGGTTGTGGGCTAATCTTTTATCGATAATTGGCTTTAGAGAGAATACTGTCCATAGAGGATCTGCCTGCAAGAAAGCCATTCTGTTCTTCTACATCTGTCATCTCTTTTTCAGTTTTAGTTTTTATTATTTTTCCATACAGTCTTGAGAGTGAATTTATGACACTTAGCCCCTGTAGTTTGAACAATTCTTTTTATCTCCTTTTTTGAAGATATTGTTAATATGTGCTTTTGTTCACTCCGGTGGTAAGTCGTGTCCATTATAGAATAAGGTGAAGACATACGCCAGTAATTCCTGTAATACTCGTGGGCAATGGTTTAATAATTCATTTGGTATACCTTGTGGTCCGCATAATTTCCGATTTTTTAGAGTTCGTATTGCAATCTCGACTTCCTGTACTGTTATCTCATCGTCTTCACTGAATTTCAGTTCATATTTTGTTGTGCTGATGTTCGTGAATTGAGGTCTTGTTTCAGTCAAAAGTTGTGAGTAATGTTTGATCCAAGATCTTTCTTCTATTAAATCTATTCTGCTCGTGTAACGTCTTTAAACAATTATTTTTATAATTATTGTACTATGACGGGAGATTTATTTTCGATTGAGTGCCCCTTCATATGTCGCTCTGATGATATTTAATAAATAAGGTTAAAATACGTATAAGCGGCTGGCAGATTTATTTAGCGAATTAGCAAAAACAAAATCTTTCTTTTACTGTTATTTTACTAATTCTGCTTTTAGGAAGAAGGTACCATGTTAAAAAGCAGAAAACTGATTTAGTCCAATGTACAATAAATTTACAGTACACAAACATAGTGTTATACTTCGGTTGAAAATGATTGATAGTAAAGTTTTCTTGACACAGCTCATTTTTGCATTTTATATTCAAAAATATTGTGTTCGAACTGCGTTTAAGTGATCGTATTATTTTTATAACTTATTAAACAAAATTGAGATAAAAAGATATCAGTATTTTAGTATTTATAATTTTCTGCTTTCTACAGTCCTGCTACAAGACTATCGTAATCTTCTACTATAAAACTGTACTATCAAGCATTTCCAAATCGAGTATAGTAAAACATAAAGCGACAACGAAAGAAGAACTTTTTGTAAAATTATTTTAATTGAAAGAATGTAAGAGTCATGATATTTAATGTAATGGTATGGTTAGAAAAAGTACAATTGTAACACACAAGCCCACACCAACTAGACAAATTAAGAAATACTTACATAGTTGTTCGTTTCCATTGAATAAGTTGGTAAATTTGAAGTATACTCTAGTCATATCGTAAGAAAGTTGACTTTTATCTCCTAATTGAACGTAGTCCTTACCATCTTTAGGTACGAGCGTGTAGTCGGCGGTATAGGTAAATACAGGGTTATCTAAAAGAGTAAGTAATACTAATAGGCATTCTAATTATAATAATTGATGAATAATAGTAAAATAAGATATTATATTTTATCAAGACTGTTTATTAAAAAGTTCTCTATCATTATCATTAGCTGTTTTGAGTCCACTGCTGATTATATGCCTCCCGTAAATAAATCCGTTGCATCCGATCTTGAGCAGCTTGAATTATGTCGTCTTACCATCTTGTTTACGATTTCAAAAGACTGGAACAATGTAGTAATAGTCTTCTTACCCAAAAAAGGCGATATTACTAAATTAGAAAATTATAGACCCATCAGCCTCTTGACACATATGTACAAACTCTTTATGAAAATCTTAACAAAGAGGCTAACACCTAAACTTGATTTCTATCAGTCCCAAGAAAAGGCAGGCTTCAGGGCAGGATATGGCACAAATGACCATTTGCATACCATAAAGATCTTAATAGAAAAGTGCATCGAGTACAACATACCACTGGTTCTTGCATTTGTCGATTACTAGAAGGCTTTTGATTCTGTAGAGTTTGAAACAATTCTTCTTCTTCTTTGGGTGCCGTCTTCAATAAAGGTTGGCGATAACATCAGCAAAATCATTTCTGTCCCTGGCTTTTCTTATTAAAGATTGAGAATCCAAACCAGTCCACTTACGAATGTTCTTCAACCAGGACGCCTGCCGTCTACCAGGACCACGTTTTCCTTCTACCTTCCCCTCTATAAGAAACTGCAGTAGCTGGTATTTCTCATTTCTGTATATGTATCCCAAATATGAGGTTTTCCGTGTTTTCATTATTTTTAAGAGTTCTCTGTCGGTACCCATCTTGTGTAGGACCTGCTCGTTGCTCATATGCGCTGTCCAGGGGACTTTCAGCATCCTTCGAAATAACCACATTTCAAAACTTTCCAAACACCTGAGTGAGTTGATTTTGAAGGTCCAGGCCTCCACTCCATATAGTAAGGTGCTGTAAACGTAACATTTCAGCATTCGGTATCGGATTTTGAGATTGAGTGTTTGGGACGTAAACATTTGTTTCATTTTTAAAAAGACATTTCTTGCTTGTTCAATTCGCGATTTTATTTCTATGTCTGGATCTATATCTTTCGTTATCCAGCACCCTAGATATCGAAATATCTCGACATTTTCGATAATGTTACCATTTACGTTTAAAGCCATGGGTGGATGGATGGATGTTTTGGAGACAATCATTGTTTTTGTTTTCTTGGCGTTAATGCTGAGGCCGTATTGTTCTCCGATCGATCTGACGCGATCTAAGAGTGTCTGGAGATCCTGTACGCTCTCTGCAATTAGGACCGTGTCGTCGGCGTATCGTACATTATTTAGAACTCTGCCGTTAATTTTAACACCTTCTCTTGACATCAACAAAAGACTCAAAAGACCTTCAAATAAAACAAAAATAGATCACATAGATACAACGCAAATGGTGAAATAATAGCCGATCTACAAGAAAAGCTTAGGACCTGGAAGAACTATGTAGAAGAATTGTTCGACGATGAAAGACAAGAACCTAATATAGATAACTTGCAAGGCGACGAAGGACCAGAAATAACTAAAGAAGAACTATTATACGCTATAAAAATAATGAAAAATGGTAAATCACCGGGTCCAGAAGGGCTCACATCAGAACTTCTTCAGCTTATGGAAGGCGAATCAGTGAATATTCTACTCGACCTTTTTAACTGCATCTACAAAAGAGGAGAAATACCAAAGGAATGGCTACTTTCAACTTTTGTAACCTTACCAAAAAAGGCAAATGCAAAACAGTGCACTGACTACCGCACTATAAGCTTAATGGGGCATACATTAAAAGTATTCATCAAAGTAATCCACTCAAGAATTAACAGAAAACTAGATGCAGATATTAGTAATACTCAATTCGGATTTCGGAACGGGCTTGGAACAAGAGAAGCACTATTTGCACTTAACATCATATGCCAAAGATGTCTAGATATAAACCAAGATATATATATATATATATATATATATATATATATATATATATATATATATATATATATATATATATAAGGATCACTCAGACGAGTGGTGGGTTCTTATATCGGTCTCCACCTAGAGACCGATATAAGAACCCACCACTCGTCTGAGTGATCCTTATATATATATATTGGATTGACGGTCGTACTCCTTTTTCCGATATATATATATATATATATATATATGTGTGTGCTTCATTGATTACAACAAAGCGTTTGATAAAGTTCGTCACGATCACTTAATGAAACTGCTAGTAGAAAAAAACTTGGATAAAAGGGACATTAGAATTATCTCTAAGATTTACCATAACCAGAAAGCAAATATCCGAATAGAGCAAGAGACAACGGAGGAAATCGAGATCAAGAAAGGCGTAAGACAGGGCTGTATACTCTCACCGACCTTATTCAATCTATACTCCGAAGACATTATAAACACAGCACTTTCGGATCAAAATATAGGTATTAAGATAAATGGCATCCGAATAAACAACTTGAGATATGCCGATGACACGGTACTAATCGCAGAAACTTGGGAAGATCTTCAAATACTAATTAACAAAATAGTAGAATGCAGTGAAGAACACGGATTATCACTTAACGTAAGCAAAACAAAAATAATGCTAATATCTAAATCACCACAAAACTTCCCTGACATAACCGTGCATGATCAAAGAATCGAACGTATAAGAAGATATAATTACCTGGGAACTGTTATCAACGAAAATAATGATTGCTCTAAAGAAATCAGAACTAGAATAGAGAAAGCTAGAGCCACATTTATTAAATTGAAAAAGGTGTTCTGCGGAAGAGATCTAAGTCTAAAACTTAAAATTCGCCTTTTGAGATGTTACGTTATGTCAGTTCTCCTCTACGGGATGGAAACATGGACATTGAAAAAGATCGATACCAAAAAGATAGAAGCATTTGAGTTGTGGATGTATCGTAGAATATTAAGAATACCCGGACAGAGAAAGTAACAAATGTGGAGGTTTTGCGGAGAGTGCGGAAAGAGAAAGAGCTGATACTTACTGTTAAAAAGCGCAAACTACAATATTTGGGACATGTTATGAGGGGAGATAAATACCAGTTGCTGCAATTGATTATACAGGGAAAGATAATGGGAAAGAGATCTATAGGAAGAAGAAGGCATTCATGGTTGAAAAACTTGAGAGAATGGTACAATTGCACCAATTACCAACTGTTTAGATCTGCAGCATCAAAAATACGCATAGCTTTGATGATAGCCAAACTTCGGAACGAAGACGGCACTTGAAGAAGAAGAAGAAGAAGACCATTAAAAATAAATACCACTTTTTTATACTTTTGATCAGTCATTGCTGTTTAATTAAAATTGCCATTGTAAATTATTACTTACCGATTGTCACATTGGCATCTCCAGCTCCGTTCAGAGGTAGTACCAAAATCTTACCATCCATGACGTATTTTCCCAAAATGACAATTTGGGGGCACTTGAATACCATTTTAACAGTTTGTTTTTTTAAATCAACCCTAAAAATAATAAAAAATTACATGTAGGTATTTTGTACTACTATTGGGTTGAGTTTACCGAAAGTACAAGCTGAATATAGTCGCAAATGTTAAAAATATTTCGGCTTGGCAGTGTTGGCATGTTTTTATAATGCACACGTTGAATGCTTGAAATATAAAGAGATAAAGCTTTTAAAAAGTACATTTTGATTATACTATTTTATGAATTCTGTAATTTTTAATTTATATGAAGCAGTAACGAGTAGATATTTGTCTCTTTCGAGATTAATTGAAAACATCTGTTGTAATCTGACAACTGCTGATTTGACGATTGCCAAATCTATCTCTTAATATATCAAAGGTTAATTGCTAAAACAATTTCTAATAATTAACTGCAATTAATCTCCAAAGAAACAAATATTTACCCATTGTTGTTTTATTTAAATCAAAATTTTCAGAATGCATAACATAATATAAACACAATGTACTTTTTTAAAGCTTTATATTTTTATATTTGAAGCATAGGTACAGCATCTACATTATAAAAACATGCCAACACCGCTATAACGAAATTTTTTGTTCCATGTTTGACATCTGCGGCTATATTCAGCTTGTACTTTCGGTAAACTACTATTGTATCATCTTTGGTTAGTTTTTAAGTTTTTAAGTCTAGAATATCAGGATGGACTTAGGATCAGGATCAGGATTCAATAAAACTTAATAATTTTTATTTATTTTCGCTAACTAAAAATTTTATAATATTGTAGATTAAAAAATGTTCTTACTGCAAATCTTGGATATCAGCATCCGGTAAGCCCCAGAGCTCAATATCTGTTAAATCGATTTTTAAATTTCCAGAGTTAACAGCAACTTTCTCCAATTTCATGGGTTTGAATGATGGAATTCCGTATTTCTTATCTCCATCGACGATGTGAGGTAAAGCTTTGCGTGCTTGTTCCAGGCAACATTTATTGAGTTCTGGATCATTTTTTTTGCAGGCAGTGATGTATGATGCTAAAAAAATAAAATTTATTTAGTTTTGTTGATTTATCCAACCTTTTTAATAACATTTATTTAGTCAAATTTTAGTAGGGGATAGAACAATTTAGAAACTTATAATTTAACTTAAACTAACTTTAACTTATAGAATATTTTTAATTATTTATAGATGAGACGATAATTATTTATATATTATTCCATAAATGCAAAAATTATAGAACTATCTCTCTTATATCCCATGCCAGCAAGATAATGCTACATATAATCAATGAGAGACTGAAAACATTCCTTCAAAGAGAAATTCTACAGGAGCAAACTGGATTTACTAAAGGTAGAGGCACTCGAGAACACCTGCTGAATATAAGACAGATAATCGAGAAATCTAGGGAATTCACCATCCCACTATACATCTGTTTTATAGATTACCGTAAAGCATTTGACAGGGTCCAGTGGAGACACTTATGACGAATACTAAAAGAAGTAGGCGTACCACAACATCTAATTACGCTTATAACCGAACTATATGAACACACTACTGGAGCAGTTAAAGTACTTGACACACTTTCGAACGAATTTCATCCAGAACGGGGTGTCAGACAATGATGTATACTATCTCCACAATTATTCAACATATATGGGGAGTATATTATGCGAAGAGCACTTGAAGGATGGGAAAAGGGCATCTTAATAAATGGTCATAAACTAAACAACCTACGTTTCGCACATGACACAGCCCTTCTTGCAAATAGTAAAGCAGAGCTGATAGAACTTATACGACTGATCGAAAACGAAAGTCAAATATTTGGTCTGCAATTAAACATATCAAAGACAAAGACCACAATTTACCGGTTCGAGGTTGTGAGCTCATACTTATGTCTGGGATCATTAATCAGAAACACAGGGTCATTACAAGAAGAGATTAAACGTAGATGTGATCTAGCAAAAGTTGCCACAGCAAAAATGACCAAAATATGGAAGGACTGTCAAATTTCAAGAGCGATAAAGATGAGGTTGATCAACTGCTTAATATTCCCAATACTGACCTACGGATGTGAATCTTGGGCTCTGAGACAATCGGAGAGAAGAAAGATAGACGCCACTGAAAGGTTCTGTTGGAGACGAATGTTACGAATTGCTTGGACCGACCGCAGAACAAATAATTCAATTTTAAGAGAGCTAAAAGTTAGCCAACGACTCTCTAGTAAAGTCCATCTTCAACAATTAAAATATTTTGGGCATGTTATGAGAGCAAACACAGAAAACATGGAAAGACTCATAATACAAGGAAAGCTGGAAGGCCGAAGATCACGAGAAAGATCCCCAACAAGATGGATAGATCAAATTACAGGAATATGCCAAAGACCTATGCATGAATTACAAGAAATGACCAGAGACAGAGGAGACGGACAATACACGACATCACGTCGACCACTACACTCCTCCTGGGGGGTCAGGATTGAAGAGAGAGAGATGAGGAGTTCAAAGACTGTGTTGTTTTTGATTTGAATTTAAAGGAGCCAAACAAACCTACAGAAATTTAAGACATGATTTTAGAAGACAATGAGAGGTAGCAATGAATTCAAAAGATGAAAACGAGATAATTCTAAGTGGCGTTTAAGATATGTTTATTTCTAAAGATGATACAATTTAGTTAAAAAAGCCCTTTGGCAGAAAACGTCAGCGATCAAAAATTAAATTACTACTCAGTATTCCATCCATGATAAAAAGCAAATTATTCAAGATGTCACTGTACTCAATAAACTATCAGTAGGAAGCGATCACAGACCAGTAAGAGCTAGAGTAACGATAAATCTACAAAAAGAAAGAGCAAAGATGATAAACAGTTGCGAATGCATAGTTTGGAATTCACCAAATCATCCAGAAGCTTACATAAAAAATATAGCCGAAACTTTACAGAGTAATAATCCCAAACCTCTAAGTATCGACGATCACAATAAATTAATAAGAGACTCAGTTAGAAACGCACAACTCAAATTTTGCAAGAAAAATGACAACAAAAGTGAAAAGATTAGCAAAGATACAAAAGCTCTCATGAAAATACGGCGAAACCTAAGAGAGAACGAAAAGGGAAACAAAGAAAAATATAAAAAACTAAATAAAAGAATTTCAGCGGAAATCAGAAAAGATGTAAGAAGATATAATACTAATGTAATTACTCAAACAGTAGAAGAGAACAAAGGTTTAAAGATAATAAAAAGAAAACTCACACAAAGTAAAAAATAAATATACAAGCTGAGAGATAAAGACGAAAAGGCAACAACAGATAAACAAAACATTCTGAAAATAACCAGAGAGTTTTATAAAGACCTTTACACCAGCCAAAGACCACAAGACAATTTCCCGACACGAGTAAAGACTCTCATAAATCAGGGATCGGAAATACTTTTACTCATTAATGTGTCAGAAGTAAGAGCGGCTTTAAAGTAAATGAAGAACCATCGACTGCCTGGTGATGATCGACTCATTATCGAGGCAATAAAAGCAGGAGGAGAAATTTTATTAAAATCAGTAAGCGAACTGTTTAATAAAATGCTTACATGCGGGTACGATTCCAAAAGACTGGAACAATGCAGTAATAGTCTTGTTATCCAAAAAAGGCGGTATTACTAAATTAGAAAATTATAGACCCATTAGCCTCTTGACACATATGTACAAATTCTTTATAAAAATCTTAACAAAGATGCTAACTTGATTTTTGTCAGCCCAAACAACAGGCAGGCTTCAAGGCAGGATATGGCACAAATGACCATTTGCATACCATAATAATCTTAATAGAAAAGTGCATCAAGTACAACATACCACTGGTGCTTGTATTTGTCGATTACAAGAAGGTTTTTGATTCTGTAGAGTTTGAAACAATACTGGAAGCCCTAAATCAAAGCCGAATAGATTACAGGTACACGACACTAATCAAAAATATCTACTAGAACGCTACATCACTATATATACGACTATACGAAGACACAGAAAAATTTAGCTTAGGGCGAGGAGTTAGACAAGGAGACAATATTTCACCAAAATTGTTCACGGCAGCTCTAGAGTCAATATTTAAGAGCACTCAATGGCAAGATATGGGCATCAACATAGATGGAGATGGATTGAATCACCTAAGGTTTGCAGATGATGGTGTATTAATCGCAGATAATTTACATGATACAGTTTCTATTATGCATTCGCTTAAAAGTCTGTCTGAAAGAGCAGGATTAAAGATAAACTTTGAGAAACCTAAACTTATAACAAATCTCGTAATTAGTGGAAATAATTATAGGAACTATTGACAATAATACCATACAACAAACAGACACTTACAAATATCTGGGACACGAAATCAAAATAAGCAGAAACAATCAAATACATGAAATACAGAGGCGAATAGGCCTAACATGGGCAGCATTTGGCAAATTAAGCCAAATTCTAAAAAGTTCAATTCCCATATGTCACAAGCGAAAGGTTTATAATCAATGTACTTTGAAAATAAGGCTATTATCGAGCACAAGTTAATTAAATCTAGCCAAAGTACTTTCGCTTAAAATAGCATCTTCAGAGGCATTTCGTCAAAATGTGAACTATCCGGCAAGCGTAGAATGTAGAAACATTAAAAATAACATAAAATTGTACAAAACACTACACTAAAACGAGGACAAACAGTTTAAAATTACTTAAGGATTCTACGCTACATTCTCAGTCAGTATCTGGAGGGATAATGACTCTCCTTTCATAATGGAGGTGTAGTGTTTTGTACAATTTTATGTTATTTTTAATGTTTCCACATTCTACGCTTGCCGGATAGTTCACATTTTGACGAAATGCCTCTAAAGATGCTATTTTAAGCGAAAGTACTTGGGCTAGATTTAATTAACTTGTGCTCGATAATAGCCTTATTTTCAAAGTTCATTTATTCGAGCATTCAACCCCATTTCATTTATAACCAATGTGTTTTACCTGTACAAACTTATGGAGCAGAGACTTTAACACTCACGCAAAATCTGCGAATAAACTCAGAGTTACACAACTAGCCATGGAACGTGCAATGCTAAACGTGAACCTTCGAGACCACATAACAAACCAACAAATCAGGCAAAGATCAGGAGTTCAAGACATCATCGAAATAACCACGACGCTTAAGTGGAACTGTGAAGGGCACTTAGCCAGAACACAAGATGGACGGTGGACAAGACGTATTATGGAATGGAGGCCCAGAAACTATCAAAGAAGCCGAGGACGACCACCGACTAGATGGACTGATGATATAAAACGTGTAGCGGGAAACTGGCTCCATGCGGCCCAGTGTAGAGAACACTGGAACGAACTAAGGAAGGCCTATGTCCAGCAGTGGATGCGATTGGCTGGTTGATGATAGTATATCATGAGGAAAAACCCTCATAATACTAAGAAATGCGTTAAGATGCCACAAGAAAATAGCTTCAGAACAATTTTTTAAAACTTTCTTCAATTACTTTCATTAAAACCCCAACTGCACTAAGAAATGATAAAAGAATTTGACCATAGTTTCCTTCCCATGAAAATTTCGAGTGTAAAAATTTAGAAAACAGTTGAACTGAGCATTTACCTCACCTTGTATCAGGACTTTTAAAAATCACTCGGAACCGGGATGGTTAATTATCTTTAAAGACCTTTATATTATTGGTAATCGTTTTATTTCTTAGCAGATATTGAATATGTTATTGTACCTTCTTTTTTAACAATAATAAATCGTTTAAAAAAACCGGTATTAATAATTGTATTAGTTCAATACATACAACCTTGGCAAACAAGTATTTTTTTATGTAGAAATTACCTTAAATAATCCCAATTTTCAGCCTAATTTTATAGCGTATCATCTCATAGTTAAAAATATAATTAAATAAAGATATGGATCTATGAGAACAAAGGTTTAAAAATGTTATAAAATGACACAAGCAATCTCACAAATAAAAGAGTTTTAGAGTTTGATGAGATAACTGAAGAAGCTATTAGAGAGATAGAGTAGAGAT